ATGCACATACATACACACACACCCTCACTCACTCATGTTCTAATGAACAAGTCAACAGATACCTCAAGAACAGTGTTCCGAGTAGCCAAGTAAATGCTAAAGAAATGAAAGCTTGAAAAAATGTTTCCCCTTCAGTCGAGACAAGGGAGGGAGGTCTCTACGACCAGATCTGTGTAGGGATTGGAATGACTAGTGCTGAAACTGTGAGGAAGAGAGAGATAAATGCTAGGTAAAATTCTTCTGACAGCTACAGGCAGCAGACCAAAATGGAGAGCCCTTCCATGCGGCAAACATGAGGCCCAGATTCTGTTGAGGGGCACGTATGTATCACCCATCCACACACAAAACGAATTCTGAAGAATTTCTGCACTTTTAAAGCAACAGTGTGTCACCAGAGGCAGAGCAGCTGTTGGTCCTTCTGTTAAGGAAAACTTTTGAATTAAACCTGTCTGAAGGACTGAACACATGAGAAATGAGCCCACAGAGTCACAGTCTACATTTAAAGTCATATCCACATACCAACTCCCCATCTCAACTTGAATCTCATCTCATAGCATCAGTGCTGCTAAACCTGTTACAAATAACACCTTTTAGACCATCAGATCTTTCAGCATTAACCTCTGGAAGGGGCAGTAAAATGCAAATGCGTAACAAACCTTAAATAAAGATGGTAAAAGCAGTTTATCTTTCAGAAGGCAGATGCCAAAGTAGCAGAGCGACTTAAAAAGATGATTATAAAATACACTTTATATCAGGAAAGCATAACAATAACAATAATAACAGCAAAGAAGAAGAAATGTGCAAAATACAATAGAGACTTACCAAACACTGAATTCATGATAAACTGGAAATAGAAACAAGGACATATAAAGCCAACCAGAAATCCGTGGAGTGGCTTCACATTCAGAATGACAGAAGTAAATAAGAGACATAGCCCCACCTTGCCATAAAAAATGTATAGCACTTTTTTAACATTTCCCAAGAGATATAACAGACTGGAACTGCTTGCAGGCAGTACTGGCTCGTATTTTTCTAGTCTTTCTATCTGCCCCAACACCAAGCACAAGGGCAGGCCAATAGCAGGCATGCTGTCAACATGTGATACTGAATGTTCATAAGTATCCACCCAAAAGTGAGGAAGGAACAATGTCCAAAATTACAGGCAGCAGGAGGGGTTCAAAGAAAGGTGGAGAGGCAGCTTCCCCATGAGGTCTGCTAACAATGCAAAAATGCAGAAACGAGAGCCCTGAAACACAAGCTGGTCCTTACACAGGCCAGCAGGATAGATTAGAGCCTGGATGCTTAACCTATCACACGGATAAAGCTGGTGGAGAGACCTTTCTAAGGATGAAACCAAATTATTTTTTAATTTTAATTCAAGTAGAGAAGAGTTCATATTCAAATGGACAAAATCTTCCTTGTTCATTTTCAATAATGCACTTAGAGTATCTGCTATTAACTGTTAAAATGTCCATTTTGTTCAGTTTTGTTTTAAACTTGAGGTTTGAATGATTTTTAAAAAAATTCCTCCATATATCAATGTTCCAATTTAGGAGGGCCCATTAGTCTCCTATATGGGCTTAACAACAGAAGAAACAAAAGAATAAATCATTCTCAGGGGCCAGGCCGGTGGCTCAGCGGTTAAGTTTGCATGTTCCGCTTCAGCGGCCCCGGGTTCGCCCATTCAGATCCCGGGTGCGGACATGGCATTGCTTGGTATGCCAAGCTGTGGTAGGCGTCCCACATATAAAGTAGAGAAAGATGGGCACGGATGTTAGCTCAGGACCAGTCCTCCTTGGCAAAAAGAGGAGGATGGGCAGCAGTTAGCTCAGGGCTAATCTTCCTCAAAAAAAAAAAAAAAAGAAATCATTCTCAGAAGGAAACAGACAATCTTTTTCTGTCTGGTTCATAAGAATGACATTTGGCTACAAGGAAAGTTTTCAGATTTTCTAGCTGCAATTTGTCAACATACTGGAGTCTGGGATAATTTCAGGATATACAACATCCATGCTGCAAATTTAAATGAAAAATGACTTCTTACTCCTTGGGAAAGTCTTGTTTCAAACAGGAAGCTCCTTCACTGTGACTCGGCTAACAACTAGAGAAGTGGCCCGGGGTGGGTGCAGCCACAACTGCCCCTACAGATGAAAAGCCCATGGAGTCATTCCAGTACCTCCCTAAATCAACTCTGTAGAAATTTGCAAAGGTTAAAGCTGAAAACTGAAACTAATTGGTCCCCAAACTAATGTTTCCACAGTCCTGGCCTTTTCTGAAGGCTATGAACAGCTTTCTTCAAACCCAGGGTATCTTTTGACCTTATGCAGGTGCCTGGGGAGCGCGAGCTCATCCTACACTTGAGGTGCTATGACTCATTCGCCATTGCTGCAAAGCGAGGCATGTCCCCAAATGCAAAAACTGCTAGACACAACTCGGCAAACTTCTTCAGCTAAGTCTATGTCAAGTTCAAGACCCCATGGAGTGGATCAATTTCAGACTCATGATAGAAATATTCTTCGATCTTTCTTTATTAAACCAACGCTAAGCCTGTATCAAATAATAAGGCCCATATAAAGGAAATAGTTATCTCATCTTTGATAAAGATAAAGATCTTGGGTTACTTCTATTAAACTCTCACAGGATCCAAGGCTGAATCGTAAGGTGGACTTACATACTGTAAGAAAGATCCCATGTTAGTGAATCAAATCAAGCTGTCACCAAACTCTGAAAGCGACTTCCCTCCATAACAACAGCAATAGACAAAAACTTTCAAGAGATTTCTAGGGACAAACTTGACGGAACCCGGGGACGGAGGAGACTTCAGTCATTTACGAAAACTCATAAAACTTGAAAAATTAGTTGGACGGAAGTGTTTACAAGTAACTAGAATCATCCCACAGATTTAGCCTCTGATCCTTGTTTTAAGGGAAAAAAGTGGTTTTTCATTGATTTGGGGTGGGAAAAAAATGTAGCTTTTGAGCTCAGCACAATGACCTATTTATCTGGCCTGACAAGGCCAATCAATCCGGCCCGCTGTTTATTAGAAGGAGTAGTAGGATACTGTGAGTCTTGACGGGTGGGGGCAGGGCCAAAGACGGGACAGGCCCTGGCACACAATGCTTCCCTTCAGCTGGAAATTTATGTTTGGTCCAGGTGACCCGGGGTCAGTGTGAAGCCTGGGACAGAAAGAAGATGGTTTGTTATGTGTTTCATATTTACAGAATGCCTCCATGTGCTAGGGTCTCAGAGCCACTGGCGGATTCAATATGTAAAATACCTAAGAGTAAAACATTGGTCATAATCAGGCTGTAGGCCTAAGGTGGAGGCTAAAAAGGGACAGAAGTCAGTAAACCACCCCTTTTAATGCCATTTTCTGGTTAATGAAAAATTCCATAGGGGACCTCAAAGGCCAGATTTTTAGTTGTCAAGAGATAATTATCTGAAAAGTTAGATTCCTTCGTTGATTTAAAGTTCTCAGGTAATTTTATTGAATTTATCTGGATAATTAACTTAATTCCTTAACTTAATTAATTCCTTATCTTGTTAAATTAATTAATTACCTTAATTCTCCTGTTTACTTTACAAAAACAGGCCTGGCAGGAGACGCCTTGCTGCCCGTCAATGTGTATGCAATTCCTCAGCCCATGACCAAAGAAGCATCAGGAGGAAGGGGAGGGGCTCAGATCAGCAAAGGAGGCTGGGGAATGTAGAGAGACACACTGAACTCTAGCTCTCCTAATCCAATGAGGGCAGGCCTCAGGAGTTCTGGAACTTACTTGCAAGAATGCAGGAGGCGCTTTTGGGGACAAGTATAGTTTTACAGCAAAGTATGCTTAATTCTTAAAATGGGAAATCCCCTGCACTGGTTGGATGGGATTTAAAAAAACAACAACAAAAAACAGAAAAAGAAGAAAAGGAAGAAAATCCTATAGCTGCTAACCAGCGTGGGCCTCCAGCCAATATTTAATCTGAATAATTCAAAAAAGGAAATGTAACCCAGGGCAGCTGGAGGGGGTAGAGGAAGAGGCAGGAAGGAAGAGAGACACAAAGCTAATGTCTCAGGCACTATGATCAATGGACTGTTTATTGGACAAATTCTTATGCTGTCTAAATTTTATGAAAGATTAGCTGTTCTTCCCCCATGGTTATGTAAACTTGCTTCTTTTTTCTTTTTAATGGAACTCTTTGCTAATACATTTCCTGCTCCTGCTTTTGAACAGCTCTATATTTCTCTTTAAGGAAGTAATCAGGCTGTGAAAAGCCTGCAGCCGAATGCTCACCTACCGCGGGCATGCTTGGTACGCACCCTGGTTGATTCATGGTGAGGGCAGGGGCGGAAAAAACTGAGGGCATCTAGTGTGACTATGGCATAAAACTGAATAGAGACCTCTCAGCAATCTTATATTCTCTTTTCTGTCGTTTCAAAAAACAATGTCACAAAGGGGGAATGGGGAGAAAACAAACTCCAACGCTGACACCTGAAAATCTGCCTTGAGGTCTCAAAAGAGGGAAACAAAATGGCTAAAGGTCTCTTGGTTAGATGGAAGTGTGGGCTCTATCTTCACACGTATGGCTCCTAAACCAAGAGAGACAAGGTCTGTTTGGGAGCCCAGTGGTTAGAGAGAGAAAGACCCTGATAAAGCCTGCTCTTACTTTAAGAAGAGAGCATGGCCAGACATATACAGCTCAGCCTGCACCACAGAATTCTCTAAAGTCACCTTTCATCCACAAAAATAGATATGAAAGCGAAAGCTGAAGTCCTAGAAAAATCGGCATTTACAAATTTAGTCTACTTTCCCATTGTCAAAAAAATTTTTATTCATTCCCTTTATTATAGCTATTGTATTGTTACTTGCCGTGTGTGTGTGTCTCTAAAATTTATACAAAAACAAAAGGGCAAATGCCATTCAATTTTCCAGCAATTCAAAATTGGACACAGTTCACCCAGAAGTTTCCAGTTTCGCTTTGTGTGTGGGGAGGGGGCTCTTTCCTCTTTTCCATACCTCTCTTATTGGTTCTTAGGATTGTTTCAGAAGACAGCAAAGCATTTCCGCTGGACACTTCATGCAGGGGCTTTTCTGGAGCTTTGCTAGAGAGAGGGTCTTTCTTCATCTCTTTCTTTATTTCCTGTGAGGACAGATAAAAGGAAAACAACATTGTAGTTTGAAATTTTGGAATGCCTTTTTGACTATTTTAAGCTTCAGCTTTCTGAAAATGAACTATAATGATCTCAACTCAGCATAACGTGATGTTTGAAAAACACCGTTTCCTATATTTTTGTAGCTTGTTTTCCTTACATTTACTAGAGATGCTCCTGGTCCTATAAAATGGAATGATGTCCAATATGGTTATGTGACCTTATGGGACTACGGCCATTCCAAGTGACCATAAAGAATGAATGATACAGAAAGGCCACGGTACAGCTCTAAGTGACAGCCTGCTCTCCTCTTTGAACAATGACAAGCTTTGGCCAAGTAGAGTCATCCCTTAAAAGCCTTCTGGTTTCTCTTCTTCCCGACAGGGGTTTAGAGAAGCATATTCTCAAATCACGATTGTGCTCACAACTATGCTAAACCCCAAGCGATAATGATTTAAGTTCATTTACAGTTGTCTAGTTCCTCTGCCTTTCATAACTCTTGACAAAGAAAAATATAAGGATAATGAACCGAAATAAAGACTGTCATTCTAGGCCAAGGGTCAGCAAACTACAGCCCATCATCTATTTTCACAAATAAAGTTTCATTACAACACAACCACCTTCATTCGTTTCAGTATTTTCTATGGCTGCTTTGATGCTACGAAGACAGAGTTGAGTCGTTGGAACAAAGATCAAAGCCAAAAATACCTGGCCCTTTACAGAGAAAGTCTGCTCTAGGTGGTCTCTTATGAAAGCTCCATTAACATCTGGATTTTTAAAACCTGATGGCTGATACAATTATTTCAAATTACTTTAATAATTTACATAATTATTTTCTAAGGCATTAATAGCCTGAAATGATAGTAACGCACACTGCAGGCCTGGACTAGGGGGATTCTGGGCTTGTCTGAACCCATGATCATGCTGACTTGGGAAAAAGAGGAAGCTAAGGGCTAGACCCAAAGCATGTGAGTGGCCGGAAGAGCTCACAGATGAGAGAGGTGTTCTTTAGAAAGAGCCCGGGGCAAGAAATGGGGATGGGCTCCTTCTATGGAATGAACATGAAGATGGGAGATTAGGTAGGGGGACACAATTTGGCCTGGGCAGAGGTGGAAAGAAAAGAACAAAAGCTTGTCAAAACATAGCCACAGCCTGGCAGCTTCCTACACACCCGAGCATTAGTTACTGTATCCAATTCCCCGATTGCTGGCTCTGTTCACAACAGCCTCACCCTCTCTCCCTCACCAGGGCCCCACCGGAAACCAGCAACTGTGGCTGGTGCTTTGCTGGGTTGGTTGAGAGTTTCAACTGGCGTCCCAGGCCGACACAGCATAAAGCTGTGTGCACGCGTATGTATGTACACGGACTCCTACCTCAGCAGCCCCAGCACCTGCTAGAACAGCAGTTGCCGGGGGCTTCTGCAGCCTCGCAGGCAGATGGCATCAGGGGACAATCTGCAAACATTGTCTGCCTGAGCTGCATGATGGCTGCCAGTCTGCTATGGCTCTAGAAGTAAAGAAAACAAGCCACCACGGGGGCTCACTCTCCAACGGTTGCTTCTTTGGGGGTAGAACAGTTGCTCAAACCTCACTTTCCATTGCAGTGTGGATATGACCATGCACACACAAATTTCCCACCTGGACACAATGTAATACAGTGATACAACATCCAATTTTGCCAAGGAGTAACTCGGAGAAGTTCAGTGGGTTGCGGGCGACACGGCAAGCATTTGCTTAGCATTAACTGCTAATGGCATGCAGTTGGAGAAGGGTAAAAGAGAGGGAAATGTCTGAGAGACTAGGGTGATCCCTGGAGAAAGCTTCAGAAGCCATGGTTGTCAAGAATGCTCACACCCAAGGCTTCAGAGCAGCACCCCACGAGCTTAGAAAGGACTCATCTGATCAAGCAGGTACTTAAGGGCTGAGAAACCAGCGCTAGGAGAGAGGTTGGTTCATAAATCCCAGATTCTGTTGTCCCCCCCAATGATTACTCCCATTTGCCAGATAGAGAAGCCTAATAATGACCAAATTTCTTAAGTTGCTTCTTAGAGGAAAGCAGGGAGGAGACAAAACTTAAAATATGCCTTGCATTTTTCCAGAGAAACCAATCAGACACATGCGTATGGGAGTGCATCCTGCAGCCTCTCCACCTGCACAACACCCAGGTACACCAGGCTCGAGGCAGCCCCACCCAAACCCAACATCTCCCCTCCAACCTGCCCCTTCTCTAGGAGAAACGGGAGCCATCTTGCTTGACAGCCCATCATCTACCCACTTCCCCAGGCTGGAAAACTCAGTGTTAACCCCCATATCTAACCAGTCACCCAGTTGGGCTCTATCTACTTCCTCAATCTGTTTCTCTCCATTCGTCCCATACTGCCTTAAAAACATGAATACCAGGCAAAGAACTTGAACAGATGTTTCTCTAAAGAAGATATACAAATGGTCCATAAGCACACAATTAGACACTCAACATCATTAGTCATTGGGGAAATGCAAATCCAAATCACAATGAGATACCCCCCTCATACCCACTAAGATGACTAGACTTTAAAAAAAAAAAAGGAAGACAAGTGTTGATGAGGATGTGGAGAAATTGGAACCCTTGTACATTGCTAGTGGGAATGTAAAATGGTACAGCCAATGTGGAAAACAGTATGGTGGTTCCTCAAAAAGTTAAGCATATAAATACCATATGACCCAGCAATTCCACTCCTGGGTATATACCACAAAAAATTGAAATCAGGGACTTAGATACTTGCAGGCAAACGTTTACTGCAACATTATTCACAATAGCCAAAAAGTGGAAACAATCCAAGTGTCCATCAACAGACGAAAGGATAAACAAGATGTGGTATATACATGCAATAGAATATTAGCCTTAAAAGGAATAAAATTTTGATACATGCTACAACATGAATGAGCCCCAAAAACACTATTCTAAGTGAAATAAGCCAGACACTAAAGGACAAATACTGTATCATTCCACTTTTATGAGGCACCTAGAATAGGCAAATTCACAGAGACAGAAAGTAGACTGGAGGTTACCAGGGAGTGTGTGGGGGGGAGGGAGATGGGAGTTAATGTTTAATAGTTACAGAGCTTCTGTTTGGAGTGATAAAAAAGTTTTGGAAACAAATAGTGGTGATGGTTGCACAACACTGTGAATGTAATTAATGCCATTGAACCATTTTAAATGGTTAAGACGGCAAATTTTATGTTATATATAATTTACCCACAATAAAAAATACATAGGAATACCAGCTAACATTTGAGAGCTTACCATGTGCTAAAGCCTGCTTTAAGAATTCCACCTGGATTGCAACTTTTGAGCTGCACAACAGCCCTGTTCACAGATGCACACGCGAAGACATAGGGAGCTGAGGAAACCTACCCGAGGTCAAACAAGCAAGAGCCAGAATTGGAACCCAACCTGTCTAGCTTCAGGGCTCATCTCTAAACCACTCTTCCTCTGAGTCCTGCCTGGATGATAATAATGTCTCCCTGCCTCCAGTCTCTCTCCTCCCAGTTCAGCCTTCACACTGCCACAAGGACACTTTCCTAAAACAAATGTCTGCTCTTGGCACTCCCCTACTGAAATCCTCCAGGTACTTCCAAAAGACCACAGAACAAGCTCTTTCATTTAAAAACTTTCCAAATTGCACAGCAAGCCACAAGTAACCTGGGTACTCACTTCTGGCTCAAACTATCTGACATGCATGCTGACCACATGGTACCGGTTACCATGCAAATGCAAGCTGGGGAATGCACTGCTTGAACAACACCTTGATGTTCACAGATGTCTGAAGTCATGGAATCTTATTGGTAGGCTCTAAAAATAGGTGATGTCATTGGCAATGATACAACTTTACTCTGGCAACGGCTTATATAAACTAAAGTGCTTTAGCAGATATTTTTTCACTTGTTTCTCATAATAACACTGTCACTGCAATTTTTCCCAACTGGTTTATTTTTGCATATACAAATTGTGAGACCCAGTCAGAGAGAACACAAGACCAGTCAAAGGCCACAAAGCTAGTAAGGGGTAGGGTGGCCATGAGACCCAACTCTGGGCCTTCTAGACAGAGCTCTCCCGCTACACCTCATCTCCCAGGAAGAAGCAGTGCCATGGCTATAGTGGGGAGATTCAACATCACCCCAACCATGGCTCTAGGGAGTCTTCGCTTCCCTCCATGCCTAAACAATGTAATGGGGGCCGGCCCAGTGGTGCAGGGGTTAAGTGCACACGTTCTGCTTCAGCGGCCCGGGGTTTTCCGGTTCAGATCCCGGGTGCAGACACAGCACCGCTTGACAAGCCACGTTGTGGCAGGCATCCCACATATAAAGTAGAAGAAGATGGGCACGGATGTTAGCTGAGGGCCAGTCTTCCTCAGCAAAAAGAGGAGGATTGGCAGCAGATGTTAGCTCAGGGCTAATCTTCCTCAAAACAAACAAAAAACAATGTAATGTACTCTTTATCCATAAGCCCATGAGTACTGATGCCCAATCCTTGAAATCTTTTATCGTCCATACAAAAAACCCCTTTGCTACAGAGGAGGGTGGACTTGGCACTGGACTAATTCCTGCCTGCTTATAGCCGCCAGCATCCGTATACCTGGAGCTCTCCGGGGTTCTGATCCAGGTCCTGGGACCCTGGATTTCCTGGGTCTGAGTGTTCCTAGATCCCAACCCTCAATCTCAGCTTTTTGACCACTAGGCCTATATTTTTAACCACTTGTTAAGGACCTGGATCCTACTATCCCAGCAGTAGAGGTGACACCCTGGGCCAGAACTGTGGGCCACGGAGGCTTATAGAAATTCATACATGCCCACATGTATAAATCAGCAATGACTGTACTTGCTTAAAGACACTACAGAATAGTCAGGGTATTGGTAAACCTCTTTAGGAGGTAAAGAAAATCAAATCCAGCTTCTCTTTATCTCATATCTGATGCCTTACCAATGGAAACTCGGCATGTACAATAAAATTG